CTAGGCTTCGGCACCACGAGTGGCTTCAGCTGTGAGGAACACACCACGCCCTTCTCCCTCGAGTATCGAGTCTTCTCAAAAATGAAAAAGGACAATATATATCTCCATTTCATCATATTCCAGTTTATTCAGATAAGGATGTGTTCCACATGGTGGTTAAAGTGCCACGTTGGTCTAATACAAAAATGGAGATTGCTACAAAGGATCCTTTAAACCCAATTAAACAAGATGTGAAAAAAGGAAAACTCCACTATGTTGCAAATTTGTTTCCTTATAAAGGATACATCTGGAACTATGGTGCCATTCCTCAGACTTGGGAAGACCCAGGACACAGTGACAAGCATACTGGCTGTTGTGGCGACAATGACCCGATTGATGTGTGTGAAATTGGAAGCAAGGTTTGTTCAAGAGGTGAAATAATTGGGGTGAAACTTCTGGGCATACTGGCCATGACTGACGAAGGGGAAACTGACTGGAAAGTCACTGCCATTCATGTGGAGGACCCTGATGCCGCGAATTATAATGACATTAATGACATGAAACGCCTGAAACCTGGCTACCTAGAAGCTACTGTGGACTGGTTTAGAAGGTACAAGGTTCTTGATGCAAAACCAGAAAATGAGTTTGCTTTCAATGCAGAATTGAAAGATAAGGACTTTGCTGTTGATATTATTAAAAGTACTCATGACTATTGGAAAGCATTGGTGACTAAGAAAACAGATGGAAAAGGAATCAGTTGCATGAATATAACAGTGGCTGAGAGCCCCTTCAAATGTGATCCTGATGCTGCCAAACCCATGGTGGATGCTTTACCACCACTGTGCGAGTCTGCCTGCGCAGTACCAATTGATGTGGATAAGTGGTTCCATAACCAGAGAAACTAAGGCGATTCCTCTGGGATACAAGCTGATGTTGCTGCATCTTATTCATCTGGAAATACTAGATGCAAAAGCAGTAGTTCTACAAAGCTTTAAGTTTATAGAACTTATCTAACTAAAGCAAATTCTGCCATGACCAATCTGATATATTCAAAATGTTACCTGTCTAAGAGCATTTTTTGTATCTCAACCAAGGTAACTAGTACATGCTGAAATATCAAAGCAATTGTAATTTGGAAGTCATTTGTGAATAGATGTGCAAACTGAGCACATACTATTGGATGTATATGTTTACTGTGAGTTAGAAAATAAAATTATTTTGCTGAAAAAACAAAAGAAGGAAGAAATGAATAGAAGAGATTAAGGTATGATCATTCCCCCTAGAATGTGTGCATGAGGAGGGTGCTTCCTCACTCTCTCTCTCTCTCTCTCTCTCTCTCTCTCTCTCTCCAATAAGTACATGCACTTTCTGGCAAATTCTTTAAAAAATCATCTCTCAGAATCATGTTTATAACTCCTAATACAATGAGGTAGTTATTTCCATTGTCAACTGCTTTTCTTTCAGTAGAATTTTATTATGGCAGTGACTTCTGGCTGCAACAGCTAGTGAGTTGCAGAGATGCATCCCACAGTGCAGTAGATGAGAGAAAATGGGTGTCAGGTTCTGATATGTCTGAATTATTAATATAGTCTGTCATTAAAACTCAAGAAAGCATACACAAAGAGTCATAAAAAAAGAAGAGACATTAGAATACATTTAACTTATACCGCTTCAAGAACACATAAGCCTATTCACCCCTTCAATAAGCGAAGAGCTCCAGACCAGGTTCTAACTAGTAGCCAACTTGGATAATGATTCCTCATCTAATGCTCTTTCTTTAACATTTTCATCAGCAAATGATATTTTCTTCTTTGTCGATTCTACTATTTTTTAAAACGATCAGTGTCTTGAGAGTTATTTTCCCAGTGTGATTTTTTTTTTTTACTTTTGAGATTTTCTTTTTGTTTGTTTGTTTGTTTGTGATTTTATAGCAGGCCTGTGCACCATCCCTTTGCTGACAATAAACTTTGTTATCCTACTAATGGGGACAGTCTCTCAGGAGCTGCTACTGTGGGGAGGGAGTCCTGGCACTGGGGCCCAGGTGGGGCAGTTACAACCACTGAAGTGTGAAAGATGAAGCAGCCTGAGCAGTATTGCAGGGAGTCTGAACCGATTCAAAACCTGATTATCTGGTCACTTCTTCTCTGGCATCTGCTCCTAAACTTCATTGATCACAGACCGTAAAAACAATAAAACAATCTCTAGTTTTTATGCACTCATCTTAACAGTTAAAGAGATCATGCCTAGAGGAGAATGTGTAAATATATATATATATAAAGTGAGAAGGAAAAAAAAAAACATGGAGCACTGTAAATCTATTTAGAAACAAAATCTAAATGTCACACTATATATCATCCTATAATGGATCTCCCGCTGTGTCCTTCACTGTCTCCTTCCTGCTGTGGCTCCACACCAGCCAACATAGGCTGTGGGGTATTGCCTGTATAAATATTTCCACCAGCAGCACTGAACAAAATGTGCTGGTGTTAATTTCATTTTGAATTCTAGAATAAAGAAAGAGAGAATATTTTGCAAATTTAAAAAATGTGAATTTTACTAACATCAATATTGGCACTGGCAGCCCCTCAGATCTTATCCCTCTCATCTCTCATTTTTCCCTCCCGAGGCCGTTGTCCTATACCTTCTTATGCTAGTCAGTGCTCAGAAACCCTCTTTTTTCCCATCACAGCAAAACCTGCTTTTTACAAAGCATTAGAAATTCTTCAACATTAAGATGTGGACTCCTCTTTGATGAGCAAATCATTCAACAGAACAAAATTAAGAAGTTTTTAATTAATGAAATTGCAAGTATCAATCATCTAGTGATGTATATATGGGAAGAAGTTTGGGAAAAATCCAGAGGAAGATTTAAGAGAAATAAATGCCCCTTCCCTGAGAAAATGCCTCTCCAAGATTGGCTACTCTCTCTGAAACCAGATAGTTTTCTTTTTGATTGTTTATTTGTTTGTGCAGTTTTAAAGGGAAATGGAAGAGGGATTGAAGGCTGCATGCATAAATTCTGAATTGTACAACATGCACATACTTCTATCCAGTTCTTGTTTGTAGAATTAGAACTAAGAGATGATAGAGATGGTGATTAAATTTTTTAGTAATCTGAAAGGAGGTAAGCGGTCCATGCAAATGTTCCTGAGTCATCATGTTCTTTGATACAAAAGTTGCAGAATGATATAAGGGTCCATACTACCCACGTTACTTATGTCCATTGACAGTTTTTGTTTATAGTCCTTGCCCGGGTCTAGTGAAAAGGGATTGGGAGTTAAGGCTGATAACAGGAGAAACTTTTCTGAGAAAGAAGAAAGTGAAAGCAGACATCAATAATAGATAAATGGGATCTGCACAGGCCTGCCGATTGCAGTCCCAGACCTCTAACGAGACCCCATATAGTAGGCAACCCTTTAATAAGAGCCATCCTGTTCACTGTGTCTCAAGACAGGGAACCGAGGTGAGAAGTTCACTGCATACGTTTTCCTAGCTCCATGCTTTCCATGAGGGTATTATTTCCTCCCTCCGGCCTCGCTCATGGAAGTATATATGTATTTAGGGCTTATAGGGAGCAGGAAGCTCACAGTCTTAATATTCTTTATTAAAGATCAAATAAAAACACAAGAAAGGCAGCCTAAAGAACTTCCTCATGGCAGGGGGCCCATCTCTTGGATAAATGACCATTCATTTCCTTTTGTCTTGTGTCTTCCCTATTAGAGGCTCCCAGAGTGCTCCTTGGCATCATCTGTAATCACACACCCTCAGCAGAACCCTGTTAGAGTGATTTTTATTTAATGAAAAAAGTCAAGGCTCTTGGGCAAGAAAGGGAGAGGTCGTTTTGTGTATGTTGTTTGACAAGCAGATAGAAAGAATACAATATTCTTAAACTTCTTGCCATGTATACAAAGTGAAGTAAATTAATCCATTAAAATTTTAAGCCATTGCTTCTGAAGATGTTTTATTAAAATTACTAATTAAATATATGGCCATTTCCAATGAACAGTCTATACAATAGCACATTAGTAAACAGAATTTCCAAATATCATCTCCCAGTGATGATATTTTGAAAGCGCCTTTGCAAACATGCCTGTCTTCTGTCTTTATTTTATAACTGTATGTGGCACCAGTGAACTTAGATAGCTCATTGATGCTAAATAATGGTAATGTGTTTATTCAACATAAGTGACCTTTTCCTGTCTGCAATGTTTCCTCCTCAGTTTCAGACTAGGCACATTATATAGGCTTATCTCTTCAATCCCTATTCCTGAACCCTAATTTATCCATTCGCTTATTCACTCAATGCATATTTATGAACAGGCCTTGAGTATTCAATAGTGAACAAAAAAATCAGTGGTTGCTAACTTTAGCACATGTACATTTGAGTCAGGGCAACTGGCAAAAAGCAAATGAGTAGGTATAAACAAGTACATACATGTTGCGATAGGTTACACAAGGGCAATGTAACTAAACGCCACAAGAAAGAAAAATGAGGGCAGAGATAATTCCTATAGATTGGAGGTCAGGCAAAGTCTCTCTGGAAGACCAGAAAGAGCCAGGAAGAAAGTATTCTAGAGTAAAAACAAATGTGTGAACATCCTAAGTATGGCTTTTTGCTGGTTAACTCTATTTCTGGTATCTTATCCTCCCTGCTTTGTTCCTGCTTCTCTCCTACTCGTGGTCAAAAAGGAGTGGGGTTACTCTGGAAACCAGCAGTTTGTACAGGGTTTGCTTCCAACCTGCATACAGGTCATGTTATATCTGCCTGCCTACCTGCTGCATCCCTGACTAGACATTCTAGGGTCTTCTACACCAGCTTTTTCACACCCGTCCCTGAGATCAGACGCCTTAACATTTTGAGACCCATTCTGTCCTCCCTTTTTAATCTTCTTAATGCTTTCTTCATTACTTTCTCTTGTTGTCGGCTCAATCCCTTTTCTGATGTGCTTCTGGATTTCATCAGCTCCTCAGACCTAATGTAGGAATCATTCTCTCTAACACGACAATTTCCTTTCAGTGCACTGTGACTCATACCTGACAGACCTTACCTTTTTTAATCTCTCTGAGAAAACATTTTTATTCAATTCAAAACCAGCCTTGGAACCTATAGTGGCCATGTCCTTCATGACAAACCTTCTAACCGTCTGTACTCTGACTCTAGCAGTGGGAACTAGACAGTGTCCAATTATGTACACTGAGCAACGTTTCTTTAAATCAACTCACAGACGCAGAGGGTGTTCAGAATCTTGGACTCTGAAGTCAGGCTGATGGTTTTGAATTCTAGATCTCCCTGGCTGTATATTTAAAGATATACACAACTTTTTTTCTGTATCAATTTTATCGACTCTAAAATTGCGTCATAGCACTTCCTTAACACTGTGGTTAGAGAATCAAAGAAGGAAGAAGATGTGAAGCCTTTAAAATAGTACCTGTTATGTACAATGTGTCCCTGAAACTATTATCTAGAGATAGAAAGGGAAATAAATTGGAAGGTAGCTATGAGATTTAGAATACACAGTACTAAGTTTTGGTCCAACAAGCATAGGAAATACAAATGTAAATAGTAAAAATATAGCTATAAAATTAGATTGGGTCCAGAGTAGGTTGAAATGCTAGAATAGTGGATTCCTTACCATAATTATTCTTAAATTTATTCTAATCTGAAGCAGGGATCATATAACTGTGCTTGTAGGTTTGAGTATATGAACATGAGCTTTCACGACTTCTGGAAAGGAAATGTGGGGATCCAGCAAACTGAGTAGATTATTTTCCCTGCACTTCTCTCACTGCCAACTTATAGGTTAGGACTGGATGACTCCTCATACCATCCAGTGATCATTTATCTCTACACATTCAATGATGTTTAATCCCTGTGTTTAATATTTCAATAATTCCAACATGAAAC